GCAGCCCTCCTGCCCACAACCTGTGCACAATGCCATGCAGAAAGCACCTGCCCACTTTTACCTGTGCCTCCTACAGAAAAAACTACATCTGTCACCCTCTCCTCATGCCTCCCCCTGTGTAGCAGGATGCTTTCCCTGGAAAAACCACTTGAACAATGCTCTGTTTCCAAAGCTATCAGTGGTAAATGAAAAAGGGAACCTCATGCTGCTTTTGCTGCTGATTAGTGCTGAAAGCAGTATGACACATCAATCTCAAAGTTAAACATCCTGATAGTGAGACAAAGATGTGGTAGACCTGGTAAAATACCTGGATAAAAGAACAAACAAGTACTACTAGTGATCACTTACCTAGAGGTGCTGGGCTGACACAGCTGGCCTGGAGACATATGACTGAGAGTTCATTACTTCACACTATAAAAGCCCCAGCTCCAAATTTTAACATAACATACCCCTTCTTGGGGTGTATGTGTGGAGATTCCTCCCTTCACTGGGGATGCCCCTAAAGGTTATTCCTGGAGGGTGAGTGAAAGAAATCTGCCCATGGTCATTGGTATGGGTGAGTACCATCAATCTCTACTAATAATTGTTCTTGCTAGCTTTGATACAATTGCTTTAATGCAATTGCTTCAGTATCGCTTCATAGTGCACCATATCATTATAGATATAGCTCCTGTACTGTCTACTAAATAATTCTGATTAAGATCTTTTTGTCTAATCATAATCATACTAAATCATATATATTTCTATAAATACATCTGGTTTGCCATCCTTAATCCTGTGGGACAAAGATGTATAAAGGTTTGATTGCACCTAAATAAACCTTTAGACATAAAGTATTGACAAAGTCTGAGGCTCAGATTGGATCCAGCTGCACTCAGGCTCCTCTCTAAGAACGACTTTAGAAAGCAAGGGGCATCCTCTCTGCACCTCATGACTCAACAGAGAGCTTCTCTAATGAACTCTGTCTGAAGCTCCCACTCTGCCCACAACACGCTGCCATCAGCGCCTTTGATTTTGGTAGCACACAGTAAAGCACTTCCCAGCTGGGATCCATCTGCTCCTCCCATCTGCTCTGTCCTTTTCTCTCCCTTCTCTTCTGCCAGGGATCCTGTGAAGTCTCATTCCTTCTCCTCTTCTGTTGTCCATACACCCTCTTTACAGAAACCAGTTCCTCCTTCCTGTTTTCTCAGATATCCCCTCCAAACACCAAATCCTTATGGATGCTGTGAATTGCACAGCTGCCTTCCTGCTAAACTCAGCAGCAGGAAGAAAGGCTCATCCCAATGTCGCTGGCAGCTCGGATCCATGCAGACCTTTTCCTCTGCTCCCTGTCTCTGGAATTCTGATCCTTTTTCCTCCTCACATTTAGCCATATCAACTGAACCATTCCTAGTCTTGTCTGGGTTCAGTGGGATTGCTACTGCCATGGCCCCAAGGATGGAGAGGGCTGGGCATGTCCAGATGGCAACCCAGGTTGTAGGTGTGCAGTCTGCACTGACTGCCATTGAATTCCGGTGCCCCAGCAGAGGTTTCAGGAAAAAAGAACGACAATGCCCTCATTCCCAGCTCTGCAGACTGGGTATTGAGGGTCCTGGATACATTCTCTAACATTTTCCAGGACTCTGACAGAGGGTTATTGACAGAGCAGGCACTCAAAACCAATACAGAGAGATTTTCAAGGTGGTCAGTCCACTGCAGCCTCACACAGGTGCAAGTCAGGAAATTACGAGATTGTCACCAAAGACAAGAAGTCTCAGAATGAGTGAGTGCTCTTTATAGGAATCTTCCTAGGCCAGGCCACAAGGTAATAATTTTTCTTGCAGGAGATTTGTTCTGCAGTGAAGAACCCACACAAACTGCCACCAGTTCTCTGTTACTCCGTCTCTGAGACCTCTCTCTTTCATGGCAGCTCTTCAGAGCCTGAGCAATTCTCCATAGCCAGCCCCTACCAAACTGTGAGCATACAAATGAACAAGTGTTATATAAATGCTAGATTGTTTATTTATAGATATAAATATTTTTTCTGTCAATGAGTAATGAATATATTTGCTGTACCCATATGTAATTATATTCATATCTATACATATAGAAATCTATAATCTATCTATACAGACATGAAAAATCTCTCAAACAAACAGGAATTAAGGCCTTTTCTAACTTCTATGTTTTGCATTTCTTCCCTGAATCTTGCAGAATAAAACTTTATTTTTTCTATTATGAAAAAGGCTCTGCACCAAGCTTTCTGCCACCACCCATGTAATCAGATTTGGGATTATTAAATTCACACTTTGCCTTCAGGATTTATGGTGAGTCATCAGCACGTCGATCCTCCTTCTCACATCTTTGCCTTATCAAGCAACACCCCAGTCTCACTTCTGCCCTAGTGCTTGATGAGGAGTGAGTTTGCTGTACCTACAGAGCACAGCTAATTGGGCTTTAATTGGAGCAGAGGGAGAGATGTTCCATCTCTGGGATGCAACTGGTGGGTCTGGAGCACATGGCAGTAGGGACACCTGGTGGCTACCAGGAACACAGAGCCTCTGGAAGAAAACTCAGTGTGAGTTACTGAAAAGCTAAGTTAATCTAAAGAAGAGATTGTTGGTCCTTAGCAAATTCTGTGTTTGAGTCTTTCATCGAGTTAAATAGGTATAGATGCATGCAATTGTTCCATTAACATGAGGGAACTCCGGATTCATGAACCTCATTTCCACTGTGGAACAGGAATCTCTTACAAGAGTAAGATTTCATCCTGCTCCTGAAACACCAGAGAATTCCAGTCATCATTTTATCTACATATACCTTGAATCTGATATAAAGTGAACGTTCCTGAGTGTGGTTATTATAGCACGTATCTGTGAGAAAAATTAGATTCTTTCTATTGCATAAACAGGGAATGGGGTCCAAACAGAGGTCATCATCCCAAACTCTGCACAAAGTCTTGCAGATCTGTGACTGAAATGGTGGCAGAAAATTATCAGTGGCCCAGTCCTCAACGTGCTGCCACTTCATAGCCTACAATTTTTACATCTCGCTATGATACCTCCCAGAACAACATCACTGTGTAAAAGGAGGTACAGATTTTGCAGTTAAAATAATGTTTTCTACATGGTACATCCAGACAAGATAAAAATATAGTAAAGAGAAAGGCTTTACATCCAGCACGGAAGAGGCTCATAACTGAAGGGATGACATATGGGGAAACTGATTTATGGAAGGAGTCCTCTCCATGTTTGCTGCTTACTGCACAAGGTCTTTTTAGAAATTTCAGTATTGTTTCCTGCAGTCTGAACACAGCCTCCTGTGAAGCATTTTGGTACAGCTCAAGGAAGTGGTATCCTGTTATTTTCAAAGCAAGCCCATAGCTAAACCAAAGCAAACCAAACTAAACCAGCCAACAAACAAAACCCCAAAAACAAACAGAAACCAAAAACCACCACCACAACAACAGAACAGAGAGGTACTTCATGGAAAGCAAATGTAGCATTCATGCTTCATTTCCTGCAAAAACTGGGGAAAAAACCCCAGAAGCTGCAAGAGATCATGGCTGGTGAGTCCAACAGCTGTATGCAACCCTAGAATAGCAAACTGTGTCTCTGCATTAGCCAAGTAGTGTCTAAACGTACCAGGCACTTATATTTTTCCCTGGAAGTAAACTACTGGGTGTGGAACTTGAGATTCCTGAGTTTTGATGTCCAGAAATACCAAGTACACATAGACCAGATTTAATGTAAGTGTGCTTTGAACAAAACAGGTGCTATAAATCCTGCTTTCAGCTCCTCATACCAGTTACCTTCTTTTCCCAGCTACACAATCCATCTCCGTATCTTACCACCATTTTTATGTGCAACGTCTACTCCCCTAAACTGCCCGGTCTTCCCATGAGGACACTTTTTAAAGCTCCCAAGGTTTGGGGAGGACACAGCTGGAGGTCACACATAAGAGAAGTGGCCCAAAAGGGGCTTTTTGGAAGAAGTGCAATGAGGTTTTTAGACAAAAAATTGCAGGCAGGGGATGCCACGCACCCTCTTGCCCTTATGTGCCTGGTTTGTCTGTGAGGTACTCAGCTTGTTTGCCAAGGATCATGGCACCTGCAGGCACCCATTCCACAGAGAAGCAAGCACCACAAGCTGGGCACCACTACAAGCTTGTTTATTCTTGGCTTTATGGATAATTTTTGATAATATGCCCTGGTTTTGTGAGGTTGCTGGGCAGCAGGAAAATGAAAAGTGGCCACAGAGTCACAGAATGGTTAGGATTCAAAGGGACCTCTGGAGACCATCCAGTCCAACCCACCCCTGCCAAGGCAGGGTCACCCAGAGCAGCTGACACAGGAATCCAGGTGGGTTTGGAATGTCTCCAGAGAAGATTCCACTACTTCCCTGAGCAGCCTGTTCCAGTGCTCTGTCACACTCAATGTAAAGAAGTTCTTCCTCATGTTGAGGTGAAACTTTCTGTGTTTTAGTTTATGGCCATTCCTCTTCATCCTGCTGCTGGGCACCACCAAAAAATGTCCGGAACCATCCTCCTGGCACCCACCTTCGAGATACTTATACACACTGAGGTTCCCTTCCTGTCCTCTCCAGATTTAAAAAGCCCACCTCACACAGTCTCTCCTCGTATGAGAGATGCTCCAGAGCCCTCATCATATGTGTGACCATTGATTAGATATTGATGGACATCCATTGATTAAACATTGCAATGGGCTGCCCAGAGAAGTGGCGGAGTCACCATCGCTGGAGGTGTTTAAGGAATGTCTGGATGTGGCACTGAGTGCCATGCTCTGGCTGACAGGATGATATTCAGTTGTAGGTCGGGCTCGATGGTCTCAGAGGCCGTTCCCAACCGAATCGATTCCACGCAGATGTTCAGGGGGTCTGTCCCCGCGGCCCCTCAGCGAGGCGGGGAAGGCGCCGTGCGCTTTGTGGCGCCGCCGGCGCTCCGGGCCCCGCTCCGTGCGCTTTGTGGCGCCGGGCGGGCGGGCGGAAGCGCCGGGCGGGCGGACGCGGGCCCTTCCGGCGGGCTCGCAGCGCCTCGCCCCGCCGCCGCCTCCGCCTCCCCCGCTCGCCGCCCGCCGCCGCCCGGCGCCTCCATCCTGGTACTTGGGAGTCTCCATCCTGGTTTCTCAAGTGCCCGGACCCAAAACAGGAAGTAAGTGCGCGGGGCCCTGCGGGATCGCAGGGCCGGGAGCTCCGGGCAGCGGCGGCGGCCGCGGGCGGAGGGGAGGGGACGGGGCGGGGAGCGGCCGTGTGCGGCCCCGCGGCTCGGCGCGCTCGGGCCGGGCTGCCG